ATACGTCAAAAGATCACAAATCGTATCTAGTCGAAGACATTACCCTTAAAAATTGAAAAAAATTCCCTCGTTCCCCGGTAAATGGGGAAACCTCCAAAAAAATTACAAATTTAAAAATCGCTAATTTTCGAAATTTTTTCAATTTTTTTTACTTAAAAGTGCCATAACTTTTTCAAAAATAAACATATCAATATAATTCTTTTTTATATAGATGCATAATATCATTACCTTTCATTTGGTATATTTTTTTCATAAATTTAACCCTTAACCTGCCCACAAGGGGGGATTTAAAATGACAACTTTTTCACAAAAAATTAATTTTTTTAACTTAAATTTTGAAAATGTTCCGGAAGGTCTGACACTTTTATATATATCTTAAATTAAAGCTAATGTAATATGCTTTATCATGAAAAAAAAAAATTTCGGACTTTATCTTATCTTCATGGTGAAAATGGCTACCGAATGCTATTTTTGTGTGAAAATTTTCGATTTTGTATTTTCCATTTTTAACTTTATTATGCTATAACTTTTTGAAAAATGTATGAATCATTACAATTTTTTTATGAGAAGTAGTATTTATATAGATCTTTCATTCGACATACTGTTTTTTTAAATCGGACCATTTCCCTAAATACAGGGGGGATTCAAAACATAAAAATGCATATAGAAAGTAGAACTTTTTCAACTTAACTTTTGAAAGTGTTCCGGAAGGTCTGACACTTTTATATATATCTTAAATTAAAGCTAATGTAATATACTTTATAATGGTAAAAAAAAATTTCGGACTTTATTTTATCTTCATGGTGAAAACAGACATTAAACTTAATAAAAAAAATACGATTTTTGTAAAAAAATTATTTTTTATATTTTTAACTTTATAATGCTATAACTTTTTGAAAGATGTATGGATCAATATAATTCTTTTTTTTGTAGATGCATGATGTCTTTACCTATCATTTGGTATATTTTTTTTATAAATCTAACTTTTTACCTGCCTACAGGGGGGGATTCAAAATGACAACTTTTTCACAAAAAATTGACTTTTTCAACTTAAATTTTGAAAGTGTTCCGGAAAGTCTGACACTTTTCTATATATATTAAATTAAAGCTAATGTAATCTACTTTATTATTAAAAAAAAGATTTCGGACTTTATTTTGTCTTCACGGTGAAAATGGCTACCAAATGCTATTATTGTGTGAAAATTCTCAATTTTATTTTTTACATTTTGAACATTATAATGCTATAACTTATTGATAAGTGTATTGATCAATATAATTTTTTTATGGGAAATACTATTTTTTAATATTCCTTTTTTCATTCGACATACTTTATCTTAATCAGGATATTAATAAGGAACTAGCAGTTTATGAAGATTTTGGAGTAATCCACCAATTTTTAAAATTAAACACTATCTAAAGATTTGCATCGAAGCGTTTTTTATGATAGTGATTTTAATCACTGTCAGATATCATTATACTTGATCCAAATATGTCATGTCACCACTGTACCGCGACCCCCCTGTGCTGGGTTTTTTTTTAATTGATTTTTACATTTTGAATGGTAAATTTAATCACTAGATGATGTAATTATATAAAAATATATTTAAATATGTGATTTATTAAGTCTAAATGTTATAATGTCAAGTACATAAAAACATGTTTCTTTTTTTATGAAATTATTATATAAGAATAAATATTAATATTTGCACTATTTTAGTATAAATTGCAAAATATTGAACGTAAAATTATAAAGCTAAAATTTAAATATATTTTTTTAAATTGTTGTTTTCTTAAGTGGAAATATCTTTGCAATGTATTTAAAAACTATACTAATCTTTTGTTCATTATGTTTCTTTACCGACACAATGGTAAGTATTAATTTAACTATTTATTTATTTTTTTAACAAATATAATAACTAAATATTTAAAGAGCGAAGGACTTGATTCACTACAAATACAAACTTTCCAATTATTAACACGAAATTTTAATGACAAAGAAACAATAGAAAAAGTTTTTAAGTATTTTAATATCGATAAAAAGTATGAATATAACTCTGAAGGTAATTGTAACGTATAATTTTTAGCTTCGTAATTTTAACATGAATATTTATACAAAATGATTTTTTTAGTACTTGCCACTCAATTTATCTTAAAATAATAATTTTTTTGTGAATTTTATATTTCGCTTTTGTTAGTTGTATAATATATAACTATATAAAATTATTGAAATACATATTATACATTTCAATTTATCTGTTATAAAATATTATATGTTTTCCTTTTATTTGTTATGGGAGTATCAATTTTATTTTTTTTAAAGGCAATATACATATTTAACTAACCCATAAAATATAAAATTATGTAATTAAGAAAACAGCTGGTAAGGATAATACCTTTTGGACAGTATTTTGAATTTATTAACATTTTTATCTAGTGATAAAAATAGCAGGATCCAACCCAATCAAACTTTAACTTCTGTAATACTAGTCCATAAAAAGTTATCGATAATCTATTACTTATTTACATCACTTTCTATTTTATAATTTAGGTAAATATGTATGTGTCTATTTAAATGTGCCTATATTTATTTTGCTCTCTTGAATATGTATTTAAAGTAAAAATATAAAATTATACTCAATTAGATATACTATACAAATATTGTTATTATGAAAACAAATGGTCAATAACATTATTTGGACTAATATTTCAAAGTTATTAATATTTTTAAACCTTGTTGGGAAGTAGAGTGAGATAGAGAAATATCTAGTAATGAAAATCATAACTAGATATTTGCCCCTCACAATAAGTCAATACATTAATTTGTTAATAACATCTGATAATAACAATTGTTAATAACAAACTGACTGGATCATCAAAAGTTATCCATAGTCTTTTGCTTAATTTTATCATATTCTATTTTATAAGTCAGGTAAATATTTTTATATCTATTTTAAAAATAATTTTAACCCCCCCTCCCATAGGACATGGAGAAGGATGAACATAAAAATTTTCTACAACAAATAAAAGGAGATTTGTAAGTAACTAACAAAAACCAAAATAGTAATTCACAAACAAATTATTATATTAAGAATTGACATCATTCAAAGAATGACCTCAGTATAAACGTTAATAATAATACTTTGCTTTCTTTAATATATAAAGCTAAATTGATTAAAAGGTAAAAACTATTTTAAGTCAAATTATTCAAATTTACCAATTTATGTGAACAAAGATAAAACGTTCAAATTTAAATACTAAAAATTCAATAATATTTAAATATTTTTTAAACTATTTTCACCTATGTGATATTTAATTTTTTTTTCTTTGTTTTATCTGACTAATTGAAAATACTTTAAAAACCTTTGGGTAATTATCCTTAATCTAATTATCATTAACTATGGTTTCTGTGTAAGTATTATTTGTAAGAGTTTAGTATACCTCTCAACCTCTTAGGAATACAATACTTTCATTTATACTGTAATTCAAATTTATTTTTTTGAGTATCATGACATGACATAAAAAAAACTGAAATTAACATTTAAAAGCCGTCATTTCAGGTGTTGACCATTCGTTAGATGTGCATTCCATGTTTCCTTTCGGGTCCGTAGAAGAACTCCATTTAATTACGACTGTTGCTTAGAACAACAGTTTCCTGGGTATTTTACCGATACGTGGCTAACTTTCTTCCTCCAATTTAGAGTAAAAAGTATAGTGAGTCCGTATATTTCTCATCTAGTTACTTATCAATAACGTAATTTACCATTAAAAATTTCTAGCCGAATTTGTTCTAAAAATTTGGGAAAACTAAATAATTTACTTAATAAATTTTTAAAGAATCATTTTATCATTCTACATACAAGTTTTTTTTTATTTTATTTTCTTTAAAACTTATTCCAGTAATATTATATTATTATTTATAATATTAAAAAATATTATGATGTTACCATTTGTAGATGTATGTCACTTATTATGAATATACAAGATCACCAAATCAGGGTTCTCTTATTTAAAATACAAAATAACCAGTTAATTATGAGATGAAATTTACTTATTGTAGAGATTATTAATTACGCGCGGGACCCTCATTATAATTAACCAATTAAAATAGAAAGCATCAGCTTCCAAGATCACACTAGAGATCACTAGGTTACCCGCTTCTGACTATAATAAGCCATTGTTCCCCATCTAAACCAGTTTTTCCGGTAATTTTAAAATACACAAGAAATACGACGCTTTACTCAAGATATCACTCTCTGGGACTTATTCGTTTTTGTTAATCAACTTGGACTTTTGTTTTAACGAACTTGGCGCCGGTGGACAGAGTGAAGGTTGTAATTAGATATTATTCTAGAATTGGGTATATTAGGTTAGAATATTTTTATAAGCCTATGTTTATTGGGTAGCTAGTCTTTGAGCTTAATGTCTATGTTCTAACGAACTCGTACCGGCGGTCAGTGCAAGAAAATATGTGAATATATTTTTAGTGTTTAATTTTTGTCTTAGAGATTATTGTGCCGCATCCTTTCAAGTCACTAGCGACGGGACACATTGGGCTACCACAATACCACTTTGATATTTTTTTTACATACATATAAATATTTTTGAATCTTGTTTTGGCCAGGCCAGAGGAAGATTTAAGAAATATTGGTGTCGATCTCTCAATAAAATATATTCTCTCAAAAGAAAATACTTATTCAACAAACGTAAAAAAAATAATAAGGACAAATTATAAATTATATTTTTAATAAAATATAGAGTGTATAGAATCTTTTACAAGTAAAATCAGTTATATTTTGTGTAATAAAGTTATATTATATAAAATTTGAATCGTTTTCATAAGCAATTAATTGACTATATGACGTGTAGTATAAATCGTATACGTAGTGTATTTAATACCAGAATCAACATTGGATTACTTGAAATATTATTGCATTATATTGGACGTAAGATAAGTACAGTTTAACCTATGCTTTCGAACGCCCAACAATCTATTGTTTAATAAACCATTAATAAATTAATAAAAAAATTATATAAATTTAAAAAATATATATTTAATATTCAATATTCCACTACCCTATACTGCATTATATTATACACTATATTCAGTTTCTTTTATTATTTTTATTTATTTTTTTGGTTTTTCACATTCTGGAAAACAAACAAAATGTAGATGGGGTCAATTTACTTATCCTATTAACTAGTATCCTATAATATTTGGAGACTACTCAAAAAATTGACTCAAGAACTGCTACTGTATTTAAATTATTACACTACGTTTGTTGTGCCCTAAGTATTATTAGATAGTACTTGTTTTTACAAATTATGCGATTCAAAACAAAAAACAAAATCATAAATAAAATACAAAAGTAACCCAATAAAACCTCCCATAGATATTTTTTTAAATTACCTGTAAAAATTTTGAAAGTAATAATTATAATAATAAATTTATATTTGAAACACTTCTATATCTTCATTAATTTTTGAGAAAAATTATTTAACATGCAATTTTAATCACCCTGCATTTAAGGAATAATTGATTTATAGATAGTACATACGTAAGAGCTTCCAAGATGCTAAATTTTGTGGCTGAAGTTAACAAGTTAGACACGAACGCTATAGTAAATTCACATATTAATTAGATTATCTTATTTACCTGAATTATTAATAAATTATTTTGCATTCATTAGTTTGGAAGACTGGATACAAGTATAGTTGAAGATATCTCAAATAAGTTCAGTGAACTTGACTCGAACAATGATGGTATTATACATGGTAGTGATTATTAAAATGATTAAAGAATACGAACACTTAGTTCATAACGTAATTATATATTTATTTAGAAATATTCATAATTTTTTACAAATGAGAATCATTGCCCAAGATTCTTTTCTCTCTTACGCAAAAATAATTGATAGAACTGATAATAGAACTCACTGATAGAATGTTAAAAAAAAATTTTGCTCAACGCCCAATTAAATACAGAAATTTAAAAATAAGGTCCANGTTCACGTGAATAAGCTTTCATTGATTCACGTGTATTAACCATACGTGATTTAATTTGTTTCATTCACGTGATCACGATATATGTGAACACGTACATTCATATTCACGTACAAAAACGGGACCCCTAATTATTACAAATAAGCAAATCGACGTTAAATTTGTTTACATGGTACATTAACCTAGGAATGGGGGAATTTTTAGCATAGTTAGTACGATGGAATGGCGCGTAGAATGTATATAAGTTCTTGGTACGANTTAGAATACACAGATTGATGCTTGGAAGAAAAAAGTTAACTGTAATTATTTAATAAATTATTTACAAAATTCTATTTTTTTCTTTTATATTGTTTTATTTTTTAGCTGACTATCTTTACGAGTTAGGCGATGTACTGCTCGAATTATTACGATTCAGGTCAAAGTATTATGGTAATTTTTTTTTCAAAATTGATTGGATATGCATTAACATGTTTATTGAAAATATCAAAAAAGGTTATAGTCCAAAGGAGATATACGTACAAGATATGATGAAGGTTATTCATTATCATTTTAGAACTTTTGATGACTTTCCTTTTTTTTCGTACCCTCATTACGATTAATAAACTATTTCATCTGTTTCTTAGTATATGTTTAAAATAATCCACTAATGTTGTTATATTTTTTAATGTACATTACAATTTACATGTCATGTAATCAAAATTTAATTTTAAGTGTAAAATAAAATTCTAGAAATATATACTAGTAGTTTACTTATTTTTAAATAAAACCATGAAATTGTTAATCAAGATCTAGTTAAACATTCTAAAACACTTGGAAACATTTTGATGTAAAAAATATTTATTGTTTTAAATAATCAGTTATGGCGACCGTTTCACCCACTTTTATGTGCCATGTGCCCTAATTGGCGCCACATTACATTTTTCAGCATGTGGTTGAAACGTTACTGAGACAGGATGTCATCGAAGAATAAGAAGTCGACCATTGTTGATTACGTATTATGACATCAATTTTTTAAATTGTTTATTGTAGAACACTTTACTATTGTCCGGTTACAAAAGCTCATGATAACGACCTTAATTTAATATTCTGCTAACTGCGGTGGTAATTTCGTTAGTTAATTTATTTTTTAGCAGAACGCATTTTGAAAATCAATCGATCTACGTTAAGGTGTACCGATTTCATCTGTCAGAATATGCATACATTTCCTCGATGTTAGCGTACTATACATCATCGAGTCCATTGATATTTATTTGAGCACGTGTGTATGCCCAATGAAGTTCGTTAGCAATTTTCTTATTCACAAAATCAATGATATTAGCTCAATTTAATCAACTTACTCCACTCCTTCAATAACGTAAACTTTCTACAAGATTGTCCTAGTCTATTGCATTCTATTTTCTTATTGTTCATCCTCAACTGTAGAACTATATCGACAACCGATGTTTCTCGTGGCTGTTTTCGCTGTTGGTTTCAAACAACGATGGGGACTGTCTGCATCGCCACCGTCGTCGTCTTCAAACAACCGTTTAATAGTGTTTACGTATTTTTTAACCTTCTTTTTTCAACAATCCGTCTGTATTTAAATACACATCGGTTTTTGCTGGAATTGTATAGTATAGTATAGTAGAGTACCATACAACATTGTATTGCGCAATAATCTGATTTTTATTTTTTTTTAAAACAGTTATTTTTTTTTTTTTTGAGATATACATTTTTTTGATTATATAAACATTCAGGTTTTAAGTTTTAAAAAACTCAAATTGTTTTCAATTTTTCTTTCGCACTAATTGCGGGGAACATTTATCGTTAAGCTACTAATTAGCCCAAAAAAAAAAATTTCTGTGAACTTTAATTGCATTAACCGTTCTAGTCTATTGTGATATTTAAATTTATGTTACTAAAATTGTAGTTTTTTAAGTTCAATTGTTGTTATCATTTTCCGTGGCTTAGTTTTAATTAGCATCTCTGGCCAGTAGCTCTGCAAATTGTGAGTACTATTAAATTTATGTATTATTGATTTTTGTGTTCCCTTCTGTAATTTTGTGTAGTTATATTGAGTGTGAATTATTAAACAGATTTGAATATTAAGTGTATTTTTTTCTTTTTATCTATTTTTGATTCCATCGCTAACCAGAAGGGTCTTGTGAATATTATTCTAGTCAAAAATCAGAAGGGTATTTGTTAGATAATATTGTGGGTTAATTATTGATTATTATCATTATTATTATTACTTTCTATATCTGTTCAGTGTTCCACCAGTATAAGTAATTAGTCTAGTCATTATTATTAGTTTACAAAAAAAGTGAGTTCAGAGTTGTGTTTCGGGTACGCACTATAAAATTTAGTGCCCCTGTTCTAAACAATAACATACGCCTAAGTCTTCAATTGATCTTTTACAAGAATCCAGAAGAAACAATACAAAACTTTCTTATTTAGAATTTATTGTGATGAAAGAATTATAAGAATGGAATTTCTTTAGATATCAATATTGATTCAAATATGTCTTATGATGTATAGAAATGTCTAAGAAATTTTTTCAAGTTTAAAATTACCAACATCAATGTATAAAAACCATTGAATATAACTGTTTTCTGAAAAAAACTATATCGATCAATATGTACAATATACATATCTTTAAAAATAACAAAAACCACCGTGAAAATAGATGCTGCTAGTTTTAAACATGACAATTTTAAATTACAAAATATATGAAAGTATAAAATAAGAATAAATGTAAAATCATTTTTTAAAAAATGTTAAAAAATATATTTATAGCTCGTTAAATAAAATAATTACCTTCAAATTGACTTGGTATAATGGAATTGTATAAAATCTAAGATTTGAAAAAATATATTTGTTTCAAAATAAACTTTTGTTGTGTAAAAAATTAAAAAAAAAATATGGCAGCATATAGACCAATCAGGCTGTTACTCAGATTAAGCATACTATTTGGAAAACTCCTACTCAAAAGAATTAGGCCAATATTACAAGAGCACTACATCTTACCCAACACTCAGTTTGGGTTCCACGAGATACACAAAGTTCATAGGTTGACCGACACAATCTTAGCATTTGAAAACCGCAATTATTGCACTGGTCTATTCTTCAACGTAGCCCAAGCCTTTGATAAGTTGTAAGACGGTCTGCTTTGCAACTTAAAAAAGTTATTACATGTGCCTGTAGACTTTATAATAAAGTCTTGCCTTTAATAAAGTGACCTGTCTCCCCCCCTTTACAATATTTTTACGGCAGACATACCCTAGTCTACTAATATTCTTCTTGCTACATTTACTAACAATACAGCTATACCCTCTACTCATAGTTATATTACTGCAGCTGCCGATTATCTACAAACCCACGTTAACATCATAGAATCATGAGACGACGATGTTCTCATTGGAGACTTCAGCATACGCTCTGCACATGTGGACACTGACACCAATCTTTCCTTTGAACAAAGGTTCGCAAATCGGGCAAGAAATTCGGATGGGCGGGACAGACTAGCTAGTCTCGCCGGCCGGCCTAGCAATATGATTGGGGGTAGCCGCTGATTGGGATCTACTCCCTATCCGAGGCTCTAAGTTAGATTAATTCATGTTGCAATGAAGGGGGGCCATAGCGCTTGGCAACGTCATGTTCACAAGGAACGTCCATGTCATTACCAGCTATGAGCTGGCCCCACTTCACTAGTCAGACGTCAGATTAGTCAGTTAGGGTCTTACTAACCGTTTCGTGGGCATTAACCTTTTTTCTTTTTTTTCCTCCTTTTCGACTTGATTGTGGACCGCCCCGGAACTGCCGTAAGGCATTTCTTTGGGGCGGCCCACGTCGTCTTCATCTTCATACCACCGCGCTGAGAAACGGCCCAGGTTTACACCAGAGCCGAATCCCTGCACGGCGTAGCCCCTCCGTTAGCCGGACCCCACTAGAGGGTCCGTTGCCCGGGTTTGACCACGTGGAGGTGGGAGTACGCTATCTACACAAGTGACGGTCGGATTTTGATCCTGACCTACTTTTTGGCTGGGGCAGTCTTTTGATTGATGCCCCTCCTTCCTGCACCTGAAACAGGCCTTCGACCTGTCCGGCCCTTTACAAGCGTGGCGATGTGCCCACGTTCCAGACACCTGTAGCACTGAGGACCTTTATCAAGAATCCTCAGCCTACAGGATGTCCAACCTATCCGGACTCGGTTTATTGATATCAGGCGATGGGCAACTCTGAGGGGTAACTCACACTGCGCATACCGCCCTTTACCGACGGTATTCGTGTGGACCGTGATTGGTCCCACGTGCGGCGGCAGTTCTCCGTCAGGAAACTTCATGGCGGTGCTAAGTGCTCGGTGCACGTCTCGCTCCTCCTGACACTCCTCCACATCCAGGAAAAGGACAGTGCCGGTCATCGAAGGTCGGTGAACGCGCACGTCAATCTTCTGTAGAGCCATCTTCAATTTGACTGCCAAAAGGTCCGCTTGTTCAGCGGTCCCCCGGACCTCCAATAGGACGGCCCTCGCCTGGGTTCTGCGGGTTCCGGACACTTGAATGCCCAGGGCCTGGAGGTCAACAGCAGCCATGGCTATGCCCATTACCGTGGCATACTTTTGACCTTCCCTTAGGGGGCCGATCATAACCGCTTCCGTGCGAGGCACTCTGGTCCGCAGTTTCGCCGGTTTCGGAACTCTCGTTACAGGCGGCGGTTTGGGCTTGGCCACCGCGTCCCCCTTCTTCTTGGCTACTGCTTTCTTCCTACGACATTGGTCCACAGTGGTTCAGCGAGATCAACTCTCGCATCCCCTACTGCAGACCCTTCGCAGTTTGCCCGGCTCTCTACTCCAGGTTCAGCCTGCGTCAGAGTAGGCGCAATGTCCGATACGGAGGCGGGGCCTAAGGCGGCAGGTCGTTTCGTCTTCCTCTTTCTTTTCTTCGATATCTCCTTAGTGGTCCCCATCGGCTTGACGGCCGGTGGGTCCTCGACGGTTTGCGTCCCGGCTTCTTTGGACGATTTCACAGTCGCCTCTTTGTGCACTCCCATGCCCGGCGTTTGTCTATAACTCCTCTGAGAACGGACACTTGTTCACCAATTTTTTCTACCATTGCCGACGCGGTGGTCGCCTCATCCGCCGGATTGTGCCACCTTTTACGGCAGGGCCGAACAGAGCTCCTCAACTCAGTAAGGGCCTCGCACGAGAGGGAAATCTGTTCGATGAGGTATTCCAGGTGGGTACCAGAAACCTCCGTCATCAAACTTCCCACGACATCTGCAGTTCTAGCGAGGGCAACGACGTGGTTGAGGCCAACGTCAAATGTGGCCTCGTCGTTGCTCTCGCCTTCTTCTCCCAAAGGCGTCCTCCTCTTGTCAGGATGTCGCACTGGGGGGAATCCTCCGGTAACAGGCTTAGCGCAGGAGAGCCTGCTCGGTGATGGGTGGATGAGCCTTCCCCTAGGGACGGTTCAGCCCTTCTGGCCAGTTCGGCTTCCGGAGGGGGAGGTCGTCGGATGACGCGGCCTCCCTCTTCAGGGACTTGGCCCTCAAGGCCAAAACTGAGCAGGGTTTCGGGGTGGCGGTGAGCTTGGACATCCGAAACGCGTTCAACTCCGTGCGATGGTCACCAATCCTCGGAGCGCTGGACGCGTTTCGGGTGACTCCTTACCTCGGGCGGATGATCCGGTCGTACTTTAGCGATCGGGTCATCTCTTACGAGAGCGCCGCGGGCCCGAGAATCCGACCTGTTACGGGAGG